AGATTCATTAACTACTTCCATTAATTATGTTTCCATTTATGATTCAAATTTTTAATGTTGTCTTTAAATTGCCAAGTGGCTTCTTTTTAGCTTGCCACTTGGCTTAACCACATGCTTCACTACTCTCCTTTTAATATAACGAGTCCGGATCCGTTTACCCAAAATGTTGACCAAAGTCAAATTTACTCATTTTATAATCAAAATTTAGCATTTTCACAGATTTTCATATTTGAGCTTTCCGGATACGCGCCCGGACTGCGCACGCAAATCGAGATGATGATAAATGAGGTTTTCTAGGCCTCGGAGACACAGAATTCAATTAAAAGCAGGTGATGACCCTTTGGGTCGTCACATGTAACCTCTTATTCGAATTTTTTTAATCATTTAAATTTATAAGTAATATTTTAAAATATAATTTTATTATTTAATTTATTTATTTTTACTTAATTTAAAGTATAAGTATCCTCACACTACCTCTATTTTTTATACACCCTCTTCTCTACTACAATATTTTAATTAGTTTTTATATTACTATTTCACCTATAACCAAAATAATGTCATATTTTATTTTAAATTGTAACTTTGAATTAATTTATTTGATTATTATGTTCCAAATGTATTGAGTTCTCTTATAATTATTTTTGTATCAACTGCAGTTAAATTTTCTTTCTTTTTAGCTTTAAGATGCAAATTTATTTTTTAATTTTTATTAGTAAAATTACCTATATTAAAATTTTATTTTAATCATAAAAAAATATTTTATAATTATTTTGAACACATTATATCTGAATGTTGTAGAAATATTTTCACTGTCATACTATTTACTTATGTAAATTTTCTTTCTCTTTTAGTTTTAAGATACAAATTTAATTTTTAATTTTTATTAGTAAAATTGCCAATATAGAAATTTATTTTTTATTTTTAAATTTTTATTTTTTATTTTGTATTTTATATTTCATAAATAAGACTTCAATTTTGTAGTATTATCCATAGTTTGAGCATTCTCATCATAGTTTTAAGAACTCTAATCTCACATTCAAATAGTTTTTCCCTTCATTTCGAATAGTAAATTTTTAGTAATTTAACGTAATTTTGCTATTTTTAATCTGATATATAGTCTTACTACATTTTATGTGGCTTTTCAATAACTTGTAACTTTATTCAATATCATTATCAACTACTATTTTTTAATATAATATTGATAAATATTTAATTTTTTAATCATAAAATAAATGTTTATTTTGATTTAAAACCATTTATTGAAAATTTTAATAATATTTTTAAGTATTATATATTTACTTTATTTTATTTTATAAACTCATGATTTATAAAAGTCCTCACATTATCTCTAATTTATTTTTATTATTCAATATTTTTAGTTTTTAATTTTGTATATTAGACTTGAGTTACGTGGAATTACCCATATTATGACTTTTCTTATAACAATATAAAAGACTTTTTTATCTCAAATTTAAATTAGTTTTACCCCTTTTCTCTTTGATAAAAAATCTGAATTTTTATTTTTCTCTATTTAGTCTTTATTTTTTATATTATATTATTCAATTCCTACTATTATTACATTGTCATGTGGATTTTTATTAGCTTGTTCGAATTTAATATATATTTCTATCACACTCATTCTAATATAATATAGATAAAAATTAAATAACTTTCTCATCTCAAATTTAAATATTTCTTTATCATTCTATTTTCTAAATTGGACCGTGTTTTCAAAAATTTATATTATGCTTTCAAACTTAAACTAACTGCACTCAATTTAAATATTAATCATACAAAAATATTTTCTTAATTGTTTGAACACATTATATCTAAATGTTGTAGTAATATTTACGTATAAGATATTTGTTTGCCCGATTTATCAATATTAATATGACTTTATTATTATTGTTATTAAAATATTTTTTTACTGATTCTTTAGTTCTTTTCTTACCTTATAAATAATTTGTATACTTTAATAAGATCTTATTTTGTTGCTTGAATTTATTAAATTTTTAAACTCAATAAATCTTTAATAGCTTAAGTAAATTTTAGTTTTATTTATATTTTAACTTACTCCAAAATATAAATAGTCATAGGTTATCTCAATTTATGTATCTCTATATTTTTAATTTTTTCTTATAGTTTTTTTTAATTAATTTTTTACCTCCATATTTCTAGCTAATATAGAAGAAAATCTATGAGTTGATCATATATAGATACAAATATAAATATAGATATATAAATTAAATTTGTCTAAGATCTATTTAGATTATGTATAAGATTCATTAAACTACATCCATTAATTATGTTTCCATTTATAATTTCTA